AACAGCCAGAAAGGCTCTCTGAGCTAACTCACTTTGCACCTGTAAATGATCAAACTGTCCAAGAGATAATCACAAGTCTGAGCTCCTCCACATACAGCCTGGATGTACTACCCACTAGATTTCTGAAGTCTGTTCTGAGCAGTCTGTTACCTTCACTCACACAGATAGTAAACATGTCCCTTCATTCTGGAATATTCCCAAAGGCCCTGAAAACTGCAGTCATCAGGCCCCTGCTAAAAAAGAGCAGCCTGGATGCTACGGTACTTAACAACTACCGTCCCATCTCAAATCTGCCATTTATGGGGAAAGTCCTTGAGAAAGTTGTCTACCTACAGCTTACTAGATTTCTTATAATCAACAACTCATTTGATATGTTTCAGTCCGGCTTTATACCCTACCACAGCACTGAGACTGCTCTCGTCAAGGTTACAAACGATATCCGGCTGAACACTGACGCAGGCAAAGTCTCAATCTTAATCTTGTTAGATCTGAGTACTGCCTTTGACACCGTCGACCATGAGATCCTCTTACAGAGACTAGAGGACTGGGTTGGCGTCGCTGGCAACGCCCTAAGTTGGTGTAGGTCTTACCTTGAAGACAGGAAGTACTTTGTGGAGATTGGAAACTGTGTCCAGATCATATGGCCCTGACCTGTGGAGTACCACAGGGGTCGATCCTGGGACCTCTTCTGTTCAATCTCTACATGCTGCCGTTAGGTCAGTTAATGCACAGAAACAAAGTTTCCTATCATAACTATGCAGACGACACTCAGATCTATGTCTCACTGACTGCAGGAGAACATGGACCAGTGGACTCACTCCTTCACTGTATCCAACAGATCAGTGAGTGGATGCAAAACAACTTCCTTCAGCTAAACGCAGACAAAACTGAAATGATTGTCTTTGGTCCCCAGAAACAAAGAGAGAGCGTCATCTGTCGTCTACAGTCTCTCTCCCTAAAACCTTCAAACAAGGTCAGAAATCTAGGGGTAATACTGGACTCAGACTTACATTTTAATAGCCACATCAAATCAGTAACATCAGCAGCTTTTTACCATCTAAAAAACATTGCCAGGATCAAAAACATAGTGTCTAAAGCACACTTGGGGATTCTTATCCATGCATTTGTCTCCAGTAGGTTAAAGCACTCCTGTTAGTGCCCAGAGTCAGAACTAAACATGGGGAGGCAGCTTTTCAGATTCATGCTGCTAAAATCTGGAACAGTTTTCCTGAAGATGTGAGACAGGCCTCCTCGCTGACAATGTTTAAAACCAGGTTAAAGACAGTTCTGTTTAGCTGTGCATACAACTGAGGGATTTTATATTTTTATTTTGTCCTTAAAGGAATAGTTCGTTTTTACATACTGACATATGTTCTTACCTTAGACTAGTTAATACGTACCATTTACCTGTCTGGTCTTAGTCCGTGCGCTCTGTCATGCAAACGGAGCAAAAACGGGAGCACAAACGCAGCCTCCTCTGTATACTGTGTAGCACCAAAAGGTAGCTCCCGCTAGAAGCTACCAAACTCTTCCAAGTGTTCCCTATTAAATGTATATAGTTACGTGACGTGTTACACTGCAAAGTATAGTAACACAGAAATGTAACAGTCGATTTTCTCAGCGGATAAAACGGGTACTATATTGTGAGGCGTAGTAATCTGAGGAGCGCTACGTCCGCGCACTAACTTCTCTCCGGAGACTTCTCTCTCGCTGCTACTGTGTGTACTACAAGTCACGCTGCTTCTATTGACGGAAGTGAGCGAGAGAGAAGTCTCCGGAGAGAAGTTAGTGCGCGGACGTAGCGCACCTCAGATTACTACGCCTCACAATATAGTACCCGTTTTATCCGCTGAGAAAATCGACTGTTACATTTCTGTGTTACTATACTTTGCAGTGTAACACGTCACGTAACTATATACATTTAATAGGGAACACTTGGAAGAGTTTGGTAGCTTCTAGCGGGAGCTACCTTTTGGTGCTACACAGTGACCAGAGGAGGCTGCGTTTGTGCTCCCGTTTTTGCTCCGTTTGCATGACAGAGCGCACGGACTAAGATCACACAGGTACGTATTAACTAGTCTAAGGTAAGGTAAGAACATATGTCAGTATGTAAAAACGGTGAACTATTCCTTTAAGAAGCACTGCACTGCCAACAATATTTTTTCAAAATTTAGTTAAATACACACACAAAACGTATTTGTGGGTATATTGTTTTTGTTTTAGTAAATGGAAATTATTTTTCTAATATTAAAACCATAAGAATAAATTTTAAGTCCGAAATTGCAAATACAAGTACTTAGGTTCAAAGTTGCGCTTGCAACACTTTTCTCAGTGTGCAGTAGTTTTAATGTCTGCGGGTTATTCCAGAGACTGGCCAATGTAACCCTGCTCACAAGTGCCACCTGGTGGTTGTTTTGGTCATTGCAACGTCACTGGGAGGGGGGAAAATAAAAGACGCGTGAATCACACGAGACTCACGTGTGATTCACGCGTGAAAGGCGACAAAACGGAATGGGACCTACTGTATGTATAATGTAGGCCTTTGGGCCTGAAGGTCGTGGGTTCGAGCCCACCATAAGACCTACTTCACGACTCCCGCTGATGACTGCTGTCGTTGGGTCCTTAGGCAAGACACTTAACCCCACTTTGCCTGAAGCCCCCACTGAAAGATCTCAGCTCCTGTGGACTCAGCACCTGCAGGAGGATCAGTGAGGGGCTGGTGCTCTGTGGACTGGGTGCAGCTCTGACTGCCAGCCCCCCGACCCAGAAATGGATTAAGGGGAAGAAAATGGATGGATAAGTATTCTCCGATTAACATTTAATTGATTCGCATTTGCATTTATTCAGCGTGGTTAGCTCTGGAGTGGCCGGAACTACTTGCGGAGTTATCCACGCATTTGAAAGACAAGCAGAGAGTGCGTTGCTAAAGGGCAGCGGTCATTATTGTTTTGAGAGGTCCGTTATAGAAAATAATGACCGGTAGAACGTTTTGAAATTACATTCAAATCAATGGTTCTACTGCTGCTGTGAGGAGCGTGTGATAATAATGTTTAAATCATAAGCAGGCTGAAACAGAAGTATCCTATCTATTTTCACAGTAGGTCCCATATTGAATAACTTGAATCAAGAACTATGATTGTTGGTTTGTACATTTAGGTGCAAAAAAAAAACGGATCCCTATGAATCAGTTGTGTATTTGTTATATAATCTTATAAAAAATGGACTTTGGAAAAGTTGTTTAGGGAAAGTTGAGACGGTTTTTTGGCTTTCAGGCTGTAACCTGCTCTGAATAGATTTTTATCAGAGTGGTCATGGCCCAATTCCATGTCATTCATTCAATCAATTGGCTTAGTAGATAGCACTTTCGCTTCTTTACACGAAGGTCCTGGGTTTGAATCCCGGTTGGAACGGGACTCCACACTTTCTTTGTGGAGTTAGCATGTTCTCCCCGTGTTTACGTGGGTTTCCTCCGGGTGCATTGGTTACCCCTACCACTAAAAACATATACATGCAATTGCCTCTTGTACTGGCGACCTAACTTAAACTTCAAAGAGCTTTGTGACTTTGTGAAGGGCGCTATACATACACATAAAGATTACTTACTTACTAACAAAAAGTGGATGGACGAAGAAGACGCTTATGTAATTCTAACCCCCCCCTTACCCACTCAACACAGAGAGAGACCGTTTGGAACAAAAATGTCAACGAGAACAATGCGAAGGCCAATCAGCAGAACATATAATTTGTACAATACAGAACAACACACACACACACACACACACACACACGCACGCACGCACGCACACACAGGCCCAAACAATCTCTGACCTTACACCTCTTTCCCTCTACTCTCTCTCTACTCTCTCAGAAGGTATCATTCTTTTCCCCACATACTTGTTCTCCTTCTTCAGTAGAGGAGGACATGAAATAAAACACTTTTGTTATAACTGGATGAAACGTATCACTTCCTGTATCTCAGCCAATAAAACTTTTAGGAGTCAGACGAAAAACGCTGTGAACTATTCATAACATATCACAATCTGTGTCTGCACTGGGACATGACTGTTTAACAACACATTCTCCACAAAACTGCCCTAGATCTTGACCGATAGTGGGACGTCATATGCATTTCCAGGACATGGTATAGAAGCAATAAATACTCTTAGTTGACGTATTTGCCTCAGAAAAGGTCTTTTTATGTATCACCTATACCTTCCCTTTTTTCTGCACTTGTATTCTCAAAACTTGAACACAATCAACATTAAAAACATAAATACTAATACTATGATGTATCTGTTTATGATATAGGCGTTATGGCCCAATGTCCCACATGGAGTCCCTGTTATAATCACCCTTTTACAACCAACACAATATTTGCTAAACTACAAACAATGAAATAGTGAATAGTAATTGAGTAAAAAGAGTGCACATTTAGACATTAAAGTGGGTACATTAAGATACATATATTAACAATCGGTGTGCTCTATAGTAAATGTAAAAATGCCTGCCAAATAGTTTATACCATACCTTCTTTAATTCAACAATTTCTACTCCTGATAGCTTGGTTCACTTAGCTGCTTTCTTCCACGGCCCTCGACAAGGTTGTCCTCTCGGTCTTTTCTCATTAGGGCTTTATAGTGCCACAATCTCCAGACACCATTTTAGTGCGGACACAGAAGAGCTGCTTAATTAGTTGCTTCCTGGATATGGCTCGTCTTCCTTTCGCCGGGTGGCTTCACCGCCTCCGGAGACTCACAAACGGCAGCTCCCTCTTGCATAAAACCCACCGACTGTAACGGATATTGGTTTGGTTAAAGTGTGAGAATGTTACTGAAGAAATAGGATGTTGTGATGAGGTAGTGATGAGGTCCTGATGAAGCCATGATGAGGTCCTGATGAGGTCATGATGAGGTCCTGATGAAGCCATGATGAGGTCCTGATGAGGTCATGATGAAGCCATGAAGAGGTCCTGATGAAGCCATGATGAGGTCCTGATGAGGTCATGATGAGGTCCTGATGAGGTCCTGACTAGGCCATGATGAGGTCCTGACTAGGCCATGATGAGGTCCTGATGAGGCCATGATGAGGTCCTGATGAGGCCATGATGAGGTCCTGATGAGGTCCTGATGAGGCCATGATGAGGTCCTGATGAGGCCATGATGAGGTCCTGATGAGGCCATGATGAGGTCCTGATGAGGTCCTGATGAGGTCCTGATGAGGCCATGATGAGGTCCTGATGAGGCCATGATGAGGTCCTGATGAAGGTCATTATGAGGCCATGAACAGGCTCTAATGAGGTCCTGATGAGGCTCTGATGAGGTCCCGATGAAGGTCATGATGAGGCTCTGATGAGGCCATGATGAGGTCCTGATGTGGTTATGATGAGGTCATGATAAGGTCCTGATGTGGTTATGATGAGGCCATGATGAGGTCCTGATGAGGCCATGATGAGGTCCTGATGAGGCCATGATGAGGCTCTGATGATGTCCTGATGAGGTAGAGATGAAGGTCATGATGAGGCCATGATAAGGCTCTGATGAGGTCCTGATGAGGCTCTGATGAGGTCCCGCTGAAGGTCATGATGAGGCCATGATGAGGCTCTGATGAGGCCATGATGAGGTCCTGATGAGGTCCTGATGAAGGTCATGATGAGGCTCTGATGAGGTCCTGATGTGGTTATGATGAGGTCATGATGAGGTCCTGATGTGGTTATTATGAGGCCATGATGAGGCCCTGATGAGGCCATGATGAGGCCCTGATACCATACAATACAATGTATTCTTGTATAGCCCTAGGTCACAACAGAAGTCATCTCAGAGACTTAACAAAACCATTGAAATCACCAACACAGGTCAGAGAATCAACAGTTAAAACACATGAAGAATATAAAGCACACACAGAAGAAAATGTCCATACATGTTGTAGAATGCTAAAGTGTTCTGATGAGGCCATGATGAGGTCCTGATGAGGTCATGATGTGGTCATGATGAGGCCATGATGAGGTCCTAATGAGGTCCTGATGAGGTCGTGATGAGGTCATGATGAGGTCCTGATGAGGTCCTGATGAGGTCATGATGAGGTCATGATGAGGTCCTGATGAGGTCCTGATGTGGTCGTGATGAGGTTGTGATGAGGTCATGATGAGGTCCTGATGAGGTCCTGATGTGGTCGTGATGAGGTCGTGATGAGGTCATGATGAGGTCATGATGAGGTCCTGATGTGGTTGTGATGAGGTTGTGATGAGGTCATGATGAGGTCATGATGAGGTCATGATGAGGTCCTGATGAGGTCCTGATGAGGTCCTGATGTGGTCGTGATGAGGTCGTGATGAGGTCATGATGAGGTCATGATGAGGTCATGATGAGGTCCTGATGTGGTCGTGATGTGGTCGTGATGAGGTCATGATGAGGTCATGATGAGGTCTTGATGAGGTCATGATGAGGTCCTGATGAGGTCCTGATGTGGTCATGATGAGTTATAATGAATCATATATACCAATAATGAAATTAGCAATATCACACCTGCATGTGAAAACCTGTTCCAGTCAGACCTCTGAAGCTAAGCAGGATAGGGCTTGGGTAGTACTGTGGTGGGAGACCTTTATCATCACTGCGTATGGAGGGAACAAATGATGAAATATAAAGGGTCTTGGGGAGTCAAAAAAGCGCTTTATAAAACTGTCACATTATTTTTATTTTTATTATTATTCTCATAATGACTTGTTTGTTATTAACGATTACTGTGGATATAACTATTGGACGAAATATAGAATAATTGAATAAAAGGTCTGCAATCTTTCACAGACACAGACTCCGTACGTCAGGAGAAATTAGTCACATCAAAGGAGCTGCAGGCCTCGCTCAGACCAAGTTAGCAATCAGCAGATTTTATTTTCTTAAGACGTAAGTCTTTCACTAAAATTGCCTCAACAAAGTAGATATAGTGAGACATTATAAATGAGTCGTCTTTGCTCTGGTTATGTCTGAGCAGGTTCTGTGAACTTTGAACTGTGATACTCGGGTCGCTTCTGGGTCCGAGTTCATATTTCTCCTCCATCTGCAGCCGACTCCTCCGGCCCACTCCCCAAACGAGGGTCTCTTCATCTACAAAAAGGACTAGTGTTAAAAGCAGTATATGATTCAGCTCCAGTGAAGCTCTTGCGACATCTCTTGAGCCAAAGTGTCTTCTCTGTGGAAATGGCACAAAATGAAGTCGTCGGAAACGGGGGTAAAAGAGTCTCCAAGAGATTTTAGTTTAATGGAGCAATAAAGATAACTCTTACGAAGCAATTAAGCTGCTAAATCGACTTTGTGTCTTCAGGCCTTTTTACACGCCAACACTTCTGCCTTAAATAGCGGCGTCTCATTTTGTATTAAAATGGTTTGATCAGGTGGAAACGGCCGAGGGCTGATCCTCCATCCTGACCTTTCAAAAGAGTAAGCTGGCGGAAAAAGCCACTGTTCGTGACTTCCTAAACCAGTGGCTTTTAAGAATTTGATGGGGAACCTACGGAGCAGTTTTATGCTTAGCTGAGATCGGACAAATCCTCTCAGAGAAGGAGCAGACTGGATGGGAGGATGGCACAGTCACCGTAACGCTCGTATTGTCTTATACATTTCCGAGTGTTGCCGAGAATATAGCTTGAAGTAAGTCTAGTGTGCACAACATTATTTGGAATCCCACAATACTTTTTCATTTTTATATAGGAGTGAAAATGTTAGACGTTTTCCTAAGATGCAGAAAATAACCAAACTTTTTTTTTTTAGAAAGTGCTTTTTTTATATGTGTTCTTAGAAAACAGGTCAACGACTACAAGTCATATTTGGCCTTTTCTCAATAAAAGTTGAATGAGTTATTCTTGGACATAATATATGGGGCGACAGTGGCTAGAGCATTGGTCTTTGGGCCTGAAGGTCGTGGGTTCGAGCCCACCATAAGACCCACTTCACGACTCCCATGTGTCCTTGAGCAAGACACTAAACCCCACTTTGCCTGAAGCCCCCGCTGAAAGATCTCAGCTCCTGTGGGCTCAGCACCTGCAGGAGGATCAGTGAGGGGCTGGTGCTCTGTGGACTGGGTGCAGCTCTGACTGTCACCCCCCCTGACCCAGAAATAAGATGGATGGATGGTTAATGTATGAACTTTTTTTTATTCTCAAACAGATTATCCAATCAAAGGGCAGAATGATGCTGTCATTTGGTTGGCTAGTTTGTTAGAACCGGCTAAATTTCACCATTTATAACACAATTCAGAAGCAAAAAAATAGGACAAAACTTACATTTGTTTAGATGAAGTTGGGAAGTAGTCACATTTATACAAGAGCTTGTTTTTTTTGCTAAACTCCAGCAGGTGGGTTGCATCGGTTGTTAGTGAGAGGGCCAAGTCTGTTTTATTCAGTGTTATTGCATGTTACTATATAAGCAGGAAGTTTAATTATTATTTTCATTATCGCAGAAGGATTTGTATCAGCGCTTGTATTCATTCTTGCTTGGCTAAACCTCCAAAACACGTCTGAGACCTCATTATGGGGTATATTATTATGGGAGTATCAGATGACCCCAAATGTGTGTTCGCATTTCAGGGCGCACTTAAACCACTCCGAGCCAACGAGCTGCCTCCTCCTGATGCTGCTTACTGGGACTGGGCCTCACTCAGCATCGAGCCCACACCAGGAGCGAGTCTGGGATGACGGGGGAAGATAAGCAAATCCAATAGATTTCTGCAGAAAAGAGGAAATGATATGTTTGGGACACTCGCATTAGTGTAATCTGACAACTCGTTAGGAGCAGATGGGTGTTGGTGAGTGAAAAATTGCGTTTGGAGGAGTGGGTCGGTGATGATGCTTCCTGTTGAGAGGATCCTGCAGCACTCTCGCTTCTCCTGGGTTCGGATCACGGTCGAAAAAGGGTCTTTCTGAGTGCAGTTTGCATGTTCTCCCCATGTCCACAAACGATTTTCTATGGGTGCTCCGGTTTCCCTTACCACTAGAATTATTTTCAAAAGGTCAAATCCTCCAGCTCCGACTAGTCCTGACCAAGCCAAGCATCAACATCTGGACATGGGTTTCCGGTGCTGTTACTATGGCAACCACTGCTCCTGATAGACGCCCTGGTTTATTTATTTATTTATTGTTTATTTGGTTGGGACAGTACATGTTAATGAACACAACATTGAGATTTTTTTTCCATCCGTCGTCCCACATTCGCACTCACAAACTCACACTCATTCACCCTGAACTATTGCACATGTTTTTAGTGGTAGGGGAAACCGGAGTACCCGGAGGAAACCGGAGTACCCGGAGGAAACCTACGCAGACACGGGGAGAACATGCAAACCTACGCAGACTCGGGGAGAACATGCAAACTTCACTCAGAAAAGACCTGTTCCGACCGGGTTTCGCACCCAGAACCTTCTTGCTGAGAGGTGAGAGTTCTAACCACTCTGCCAACGTGTCGCCCATCAAGACGGGTCAAATGCAGAGGAGGAATTGCCGTACGGGGATAAATAAAGTGAACCGATCTTTACCTTATCCAGCCTGGCCTTATCCATCCGTACACTCCGCTCAATCATCATGTCACTGCATGTAACGTCTGGGTCTGGTCCCTGTGTTAGTGAATACAATCGGTCGTATTTCGACCGGCTACTCAGAGAGCGCGGGAGGCGGGTGGTGTAGTTAGATGTGAGTGACGTCAAGAGTTTGCGTCGAACGGGCAGGTTGTAGTTTGGCAATGGCGAAAAATGCAATAGTAAAATAATCTGGTCTGGTTCTATCAAGAAATTGAAGCCGGAGCAAGAGGAATGTTTAGCAAATGAAAACGCTGGAAAAGATTGTGCCGCTACTCCCCACGGGTTAGCGGCAAAGGAGATGGCTAGGCTAAATGCTAAATGCTAAAGCTAGGCTAAATGCTAAATGCTAACGACAGACTCGGGCGCACTACATACGTCACAGTAAACTCAGATCCAATCGTTTCAATCTGCAAAAGGAGTTAACCCCTCCCACCTGTTCACGGAGCTCAATGGAGCACCTCCAGACATTAGTATGAAATGTAATTTGTACTATGGTGTGGTACGACCAGGCTAACCTTTACCTAACTTTCAAACAAGAACAAAAATAAGTGGTGTGATCAAATCTATATTATTAGTTTTTTTTCTTTGCCTCTTGTGTCTCTGACACGCCGACCATGCTCATTCAGACTATCAGCTCTCGGCCCAAAACATCAAAAAGTGACTCACAGGGCTCTGATCTGTTGTTAGCACTTTTTTTTTTGTTTATTGAAAAAACTTAACTACTTCTTCTTCTACCACTACTATTTCTACTACTGCTTATACTACTTCTACAACAGTTACTTCTATATCTATTGCTACTACTACCATTATAGTTACTTTCTGCTACTACTACTCTTTCTTTTGATTATTTTTTCATCCAAGCCTGGACTTACAGGTGCAAGCTAATGGCTAAGGCAAATGACCCAGAGGGAGAGGAGCGACCCGGGGGGAGGCCTGCATGGGTACTGTAGGACTTGGCCTCTGAAAAAGTGGCCTTACCTGCTTAAAAAACTCACTGAGCTCGTCCTACTACTACTACTACTACTACTACTACTACTACTACTACCACCGCTGCTGCTGCTACTGCTACTACCACAACTACTACTATTACTATACCACTACTGCTACTACTACTACTACTACTACTATAATACCACTACTACTACTACTACTACTACCACCATCAGATGGGACGGGAGGACCTGATGTTAGTGTGGATGGGGTCAAAAACAAATCTCGAGCTGA